TGTAACTTCTTCGAACATGCTGAAACCTGATTGGCTGTGTTGACAGACGCGTGCAAAATGAGCTCTGGTAAGTGTCATAATCGCATAAAAGTGTTGTGTGATTCACATAAACAGTCACCACGTGACCTAATGACAACATAAATTACATGTGGTTGTATTAGCCTATTATTTTTGATTGGGACTCCCTGCACTGCTTAGTAATGAAATAAAGTCTGTAGTAGAAGCGCCTGTACTGTAAATACTTTTCCTTCAAGGTCAGCCCATATAGCAGTGGTGAAGTATTCACATTGTACTTAAGGAAAGGTTGCAATATTAGGCTATAGTGTAAAAATACTCTGTTAAAAGTAATGAACAAGGTGTACTAAAGTGAAATGTTAAATGTGGACACATTTTCTATGTTCTACTTTACAAATCCATTCCACAACAGATTTGATCATTTACTCCAGGAAATGTTCTAAGCAACATTTCAAACGATTTCTGGTTCCATCTTTTCAAATGTACAATTTTGATGTTTGAAATGTGTATACCAGTAAAAGTAAAATATCTTACAGTTAGAGAAAACATTTGTCAAATCAGGCAATTTGAAAATATCAGCTTATATTATATTATTGATTTATCATGAAAATGATCAGCAGAGAATTTAGATAAAGTAAATACATTTACATTTAGACATGATCTAAATGTCGAAGTGTTAGTCTACTTTGTGTTTTGCCATTTTCCCCCTCAGAGGTGTGCCCATTCTGCGGGAAAGCTTACAAAAGGTTGAAGAGTCATCTCCCACATTGTAAGGCAGCAGCAAGCTCCAAAACCCCTCCAACCAAACACGATGTCCCGGGGAATCGGACAACATCGTCTTCTCAGCTCACTGCAAATGTATCCAAACCAACAGCAGACTCGACACAGACATTGTCAAAAGTAACAAGTCCACGATCAAAGAAGAGTAATAAGATGTCTCTGGCATCAGCAGCAGAAACAACACAGCCATCGGCCACGAGTTCTGCGTCACTTCCAACATCAGCTAAGAAGAAGAAACAGAAGCTGTCCGAACAAACAGCCAACTTTCCCTCATCTACAACCAACTCCATTAGCTCCCCATTGCAACCTTCCACTATCTCTAAACCCAAAAAGCAGAGTCTCCAAGCTTTGATAGAAGCGGAAAAATCCAAACAGGTTTCTAAAGGCCCACTGGAGGGGACTAGATCTGCCTCGGAGGACCTGCCCAAAACTAATCCTGACAAAAACTCAATAAAAGACGGGGCCAAACCCACTAAAGCCAAGACGTCAAAGACGAAAAAGGCAGCTGCACAATCCTTTTCTTCAGCAAAAGATACCTCTACCTCTCTGGGCTCTAAAGATGTCAAAGACAACCTCTGGGTGGACACTGAAAGGAAAGTGGAGGATTTATCTGAAAATGAGATGTTCTTCAAATCAGAAAGTGGTCACCAGGCCAGGATAACCCTCCAGGGAGTTAGAGCCATTTTAGGCCGAGACAACGTGGCCCGTCAGTCCAGAACCGCAAGCATACTGAGCCAGATTGATACTGCGGATGATCTGAGCGGCAAAATCAGTCTCAGTGCAGTCCCTCTCCCAACAGGGAATAAAGACAGCTGCCTGGTTACAATTAATACTCTGTCAGACCAGCCACCTTGCACCCCTGCACAACATACAGAGCTACAATCAGTTATGAGAATAAGTTCAAAGTCTAAACAATTATCACTAATCCCCCTGCAACAGTTAGAGCTAACCCCCCCTGCAGCTCCCCTCTCTAGTGGCCCTCTACCGTCTCAGACGAGCAAGGACACGTCCCCTCCACGTACTGTCGGCATGCATGAGGGGATGAAGGTTCCAGGACTCATCACAATATCATCATCACTCACAAGGTTTTCCCGACCTCTGACGGCACTGAGGTGTGACACATCGAGAGCTGATGATGGGTTGGAGATGCGGCACGAGGTCAGGAACCAAAACACTGCTGATGGTACTAAAGGTGGGTGTTTGGCAGCTGGGCAAAAGACCTCCACACTACAGACTGAAATTAATCTTAAAGGCATCATTTTCATAATTGCAGGGGGTTGTATGAGGTGCATAGCCATGTTTATGGTGGTTCGTTAGCATTCACTAAAGTCACACAATAACACAAACTATTTAACCAATCAAGGCAGCAGTAGACTAACACCTGTAGTCTGGTGGCTATAAAGAGAGAATAGATACTGTCCTTGTTGGCAAGCGATGTTTGACAGCAAGGTAATGCTGTCAAAATATTGTAAATGTAACGTAAAATCCAACTAATATTGTTATTTTTTAAGATGGCTAAAATACATTTAGCTTTTGCCCCTTCTACATTGGTACCATGCTTAGTTTCAGTACCAGTACATCATCTATAGTTAATACACTACATATGGATGAAGTACCTTTAAAGTGTTCTTGTTTACTTGTACTTCCAAGTTCGATTTTTTTTTTGATTTTGACAAATGGTTATTTTATATTTAGTTTTTCTTCAGAGTGTATTCATCTGTTTTTGTTATGTCTTAATTGTGTAGGTGCTCTGACAGAGCGGAGTCTTGGACAGGTGAGACTGAGGGAGTTGCCTCAGTGGCTGGCCTACAAAACCCCCAGCCATCCTAAAGATGTAGTGAAAATGGTGCAAGGAGGTGACTAACACTCACATCCAACACATACAAATATGTGATGTACATAGAACAGACCAGTAAATGTACTGTGTTTTTTTTGTGGTCTTTTATGTATGTATCTACCTACCTGTGTTATATAGAGTGTTTCTTTGAGAAATCTGTCATTTTAAACAAGATAACAGGCATTTGGTCACCTACACTGAAGAAATGTTCATACGTTGACTTAATAAATGTATTTTGTAAACAAATTACAAATAATTATATAAGGTGAGTTGAAAGCAATAGTATTACGTTTAAATAAATAATAGGTTCAACTTAATACTATTGCCTTCAACTAACCTAACTCAATTATGTGGAACCTTTTGACATACTACATTTAATCAAAGTCAGTTTCATTTTTTCAGTGCACAATCTCCTTTGAGAAGGTGTCAGGGAGGTGGCTGTCTGCCAGAAGCAATATTAAACTGACTTTTTATCCACTTTTATGCCAGAATTGAACAGCCCACTTTTATCTTGCTCTTTTATAATTATTTGTTTTTCCTGGATGAAGGGTTGCAGTCATTAGACGTCTTGATCTGCAGTTATCAGAGAAACAAACTGAGCTAAAGTTATTGGCAGCATCAGGGAAAAACTTAATTTTACTATGAAACTGCTTTATTCAGAATGTGTCCAGCTCACTCACCGGGTACAACTCTTTGTATAAGGTCTGCATGTTTATATCTCCTCTCCTCTTCTGTGCTTCCATCAGGCTGGCAGTGGTATAACAAGAAGTATTTTGAAGTGAAGAAAGGTGGAATAGGTGGCCTGAGCATGTTGTTAGCAGGATACTGTGCTATCAGCTACATCTGGAGTTACTCTCATATAAGTAAGTGTGAAGATTCCTCTCATTGTTGCTTTATGTAATGGCTACATATATTTTGATATATTTGATCAGAGCTTGTTCATGAATGTTATTTGTTTTTTTCCAGAGCGAGATCGCAGGAGGAAGTACCACTAATGTAAGGGGAGGATGTTAGGACAAGCGTGACTCTGTATTATAAAACCTCTACTTTGTTTAGCACTTTTTAGGCATCTATTCTCTTTATACTTTATAGTAATATAATTAGCCCAGATCCAAACATTTCCACATATTTAATGTATTGAAGCTCACCTAGATAGGAAACTACAAACAGCAGCTAGTTAGCTTAGCATAAAGACTTGAAACACGGACAAACAGCTAGCCTCGCTCTTTCAAATTGCTAATCTACCTACCAGCACTTTTAAAAGTGACCCTGTATTTTTTATCTAATTTTTTTTTATCCGTAGAATAACAGTTGTGTGGTTGTATGCCTTTTCCCACCACTCCAGTTGCAGTTTACATTAATGTCCCTCCAAAATGTCCTAATTTTATCGTATTAGATATTTGTGGGAAATGTGTATAATTAGCGTATGACTTTGTGAGTTATGTCCACAAATGGGTTTTGTACAGTCACAGTGACCTTTAACCTTTGACCTTCAACTTCTGATCAGTTCCACATCGAGTCAAAGTGGACGTTTGTGCTAAATATGAAGAAATTCCCTCCAGGCGATCCTGATGTGGTTCATGTATGGAGTCAGATTTGACTCCATAAGAAAACCCAGAAAACTTGATGTCACGGCAATTTAGCTGTTTCCAGGCCTTATGCTAAGCTAACCAGTTGCTGTCCGTAGCTTTACATTATAGACGGGAAGGAATAAGGTATTCATTATCTTATTTAACGATTGAACAGAAAGGGAATAAGTTATTTATCTAAAATGTATAACTATTCCTTTAGAACTTGAGGGGTAGTAATTCTGACAGTAGCAGTTCATTCAACTTTGCACCTGCATTATTCATAATGAAGTGAAAGCTGTGTGCACTGCATCAAATTATTTATTTACTTGTATATGTTTGTATTATTTAAATATAGTTTAATTTGTATCTTGTTTTACTTTGAGAAGGAAAAATGTTCTAAAGAACCACTGAATATTCGCTTTTATTGTGATTGGTTTAGTCCCACTGTTGTTCCAAAGGGCTCCACTAGGTGTCATTGTTGTGTTTTGTTACTAAAACCAAAAGGGCTTGGCAGTCAAATGTTTGCTATGCAGAGTTTTCTTAGCTCCTTTGTGCAGAGGCAATGGGGCTGGGGTCCATGAGGGGATTAAAGGGAACCAAGAGATTTTTTCACTTGATTAAAATCTTGCTGTGGCAGTGCAGATTCAGACAAAAATGAACATGTCCTGACTTCAGAATGTGCAGAAAGATCTTATCTAGGCTAACAAATGTGTGTGTCTGCCGGTGCCTGTATGTGAACACTCACAGAATAGTAATGGAGGGACGCTGAAGGAGGATCTAGTCTGGACTGCAGCGTATTGTTATTGTATTCAAAATGAATTTATTGTTGACTCTCTTTGCTGCTGTAGTGAACACACATTGGCTACAAATGAAGAAATTACAGTATTTTTGTAACCATTTTTCTCGACTCCACTTCATAGCCAACACAATAAAAAATAATTTCCATTTTCTCATTTACTTTGTTCGGTTTTTTTTTACATTCTTTTTTTTCTCCATACAAAAATTATAAATATTTTGTGTTTCACTTTTCATTTTTGTACAAAACAACAAACTATACAAATCAAGTGAGACGAAACGACAGTGAAAATTAAGGAAGAAAAACATCATTGAACTCATAACGGGAGGAAAAAGCACAGTATGTTTCAACCAGGCCCTCGGACACTGAAGTGCATCCAGATAACATGAACCAGCTCTTACTAACTTTCCCGTAGAGCGCTAGAGGCACAAAGTCTTGCAGCAGCCACTTAAAGAAGCAAATCTCACGTGACCCTTACATGACAGAGATTTCCTTTCAAAGAGGGAGTTTTTTCTCATTGTGAACTGGTAGATATAGGAGTACTATAAAGGTTGAGGCAGAGATACAGGCTTGCTGCGATGGCCACTGGCACTCAGACACAAAAATAGACGTTTGTTCTCTACCCCCCCCCCCACCCCCCCCATGCAAAAGGCCTTCAGTCTGCTCCTGTAGCAGATAGGTGGCACTATCCAGAGTCAGCATTTAACTAAGCTTTGGTGCTGTGTCGGTTTGTAAATTGCTTTGTCTTGCTTCTACTATAGTGCAGATCTCTGTAGGTTTGCTAAAAAATGCACTTAAAAAAATAAATACTTGGCCAATATTTCTGATTCATTCTACAGCACGATAACATCGAATGATAAATTCAGTTTGGACTATAAAAACTACAAAAAAAGAATCAAGACATAACCATTACACACTAGGAGCTTTAGGGGCACAGCTCCAGAGGAAACACTACAAATCTGTTGTCCCCAGCACAAAGACGTAAAGATCTGACTGCGATTCTGGACAAAGCCACTTTTTCTCCTATTTCGAGTTTTGGTTGCGCTGCTGAGAGGGTAAAAGAGAGGAAATGCTTTAAAACCAACTGGAAAGTGATGAAAACATCCTATGAGACTGAGTGAACGTGAATAAATTCAAGAGTATGGTAATCAAACAACCCAACTACATGAAAATATAGTCATAGACCAGTGTGTATGTGTCCAGAGTAACACACACACACTGCCATGTCACTGTAGTAAAGCATAGATAGCTGGATATGATCAGTATATAATTATATGCAGAAGGCAAATCAACATACGTACAATCAATGACCCTTCAGGATCATATAAACTAATGACCATATTGTCATCTTCACGAAGCCGGGGAACAACAAACAGTCATCTTTTTTTAATGTCATTAAAAAAATTAAGAAAAATAGGAAATTAAAAACAAAACCAAAAATCATAATGTAACATATCTTCCTCAATCTGAGGACTAAACTCCCCCTGACACAAACACGCTGTGAAATGATAAAAGTGGTTGAGATCGAGTATTTGTCCTGTGTCTGTGTCGGGGCTTGCATACCTTTAAGGTACAAAAGAAAAAAATGCCAAATAAACTGTGACTTGAGCACAAGAAAAAAAAGCATTGCTGAGTACAGTAACACTACTATGCATGTTTATATGTGACTAGTTTGACTGGTTTATAGAGTGATGGAGAGGTTATCCTTGTTGCAGGCAGCTGAACGCAGGAGAACACATTTTGGTTTTGGTTCCAAATATTCACAATCTAGTTAGCCTAGCGTTAAATCAGCAAGCCACATATTCATATAGTTCCTGAAATAAGCAACAGTATGTTTAGTGCAATGTGTCTATGTGATTGTGTCTCTACTGAGCTTACCTAAGGAAATCTATACCTCTGAACCATGAATCTACCTAACACGGTGTAATAAGCATGTATGCATGTTTGTAATGCAGGAACTGAAGCAGTGGATATTTTTGAATAGAGCTCCTTCATGTAAACACTTCAAAATAAAAACCTAGAATTAGGCACAAAGTCGTAATTTTGTCCCTCCTTTTTCAGCATAGGTAGTGGGGGGTGATTAACTGGCACAAAATATTAATAAGGTGTGTGTGAAGAGAGGGACTCTTATATTCAAGTTACTGAAATTGCAGACTCTTAAAATGTTAAAGTAATCAAAACATTTTCCGGCTGTGAGTTCATTGCATTGCACACATTCCCGGATGTTCATAGGTCATATGAAGTGCTTTCATGCATCAAACGCCCCCCCCAAAAAACAACGGGGAATAAAGACAAACTAAATACATGCTACATGGCCGGAGATGGTATCACAAAGAGTAAACCTCTCTTCACACAGATTGTGGGGGGAATACAACAAATATAACAGGGGAGATTGATACACAGGGGAAAAAACGATACATTAGGGATGATAACAGTCCTAACATTCCAAGATGCTGTTGACTGCCGCTTCGAGAGCAGAGTCTGTGTCGCCGTGAGGGGGGGAGGAGAGCTGAGGGGGTAACTGGGGCTGGATCTGCTGCGAGGACAGGTGGTGAGACCCCTCGTAGTGCGTCTGTCCTCTTGATGTTGCTGTGAAAGGTGGGGGGGTACCTTGGGGGTAACTGTTGGCAGCTGGGAGGATGTTGTCGCTGCTGGGCCCGTAGTGTTGCTGAGATCGCTTCAGTTCCAGGACACTCTTGTTTTCTAAGAGCGGAGGGTGGAGTTTATCTACTGCACCTGGTCCTGCATCTCCACCCCCTCCCGGGTCTCCAAACCCGGGCTTGGAGTCTGTCCTGTGCGGTGGCTCCGTGGAGCCTCTGTCCGACGGATTCAGGCTACAGCTGGACGTTGACTTGGAGGGGGAGGGAACTTGGAATAGTTTGGATTTACTCCCACAACAAAAGTCTTCCAAGAATGTGTCTTGGGGGGAAAAAAGTTATATAAAATTACAGGTGCTCTATAACAAAAATTGTTTTGAAATAATTCACACTTCCTGAATCCTAAGTGGTTGAAGTCTAATGTTCTTATACTAATGGCGCAATTCCACTGCAGCGTGTAGCACGGTTTAAGCGTGCCGTGCCAAACCCAGCCCATTTTTTGTTGCGTTTCCACCAGGGGTAGTTCCGGCTAACGGGTACTGTTTTACAGTTTTTCTGGCTCTCTAATGGTGCATTTCCACTGCAGCGCCTCGCACGGCTTAGTACGGTATGGTTAGGCCTTGGTAGGCCAGGCTCACTTTATGCTGCGTTTCCATTACAGTTTAGTAGCTGGGGCAGTAACTATGGTAATGCAGTGTAGGCAGAGCCGTGACGTCATCTTCAATGCGAACCACAAAATCAACATCAGCCGTTAGCTGTTGCACTCAAGCTCACAGCTCCTCATATCTGTTCAGAAACTAGACAAAAGTTAAACAAGTACAAACCACAGACTGCCTGTGTCATGGCGAATACAGTTGCTGGTTTATTTATGTCTGTATAGGCCGTTGTTGTGAGTGTGGACGGTCGGAGCATATACAACGTTAGCTTAGCCGATCTCCATTCAGAAAACACGCATTTTAAAAGGTTTTTCACCTGCCGTCTGTCTGCAGACATGTCAAAGCATTAATTCATGGTTTTTACTAACCGGTATCAGTATGTTGTTACTTCGGCATCATTTTGAAACGTGTATCACAATTAAATCACGGTAAAATATGTTCATTTTGTTGTAGTTGTAGCCCCCTTGCCAGTGATTCTCTCACTAGTTTAGCATATTCTAAGGATAGAGGGTGTTGTTTTTCTCATACTGATATTCTGAACAATCTGTGCTGTTGTATTTGCTGTAAAGTGTCTCTACTGTAGCTATATTTTTATGTACAGCACTTTGGCTCGACCAAAAATCGCTTATAAATGTGCTATATAAATAAAACTTGATTTGATTTGATTTGATATTCAGCCCGGTTGTTGGCCCGGAAAGAACCACGATTTTGCCAGAAAAACTGTGAAACAGTACCCGTTAGCTGGAACTACCCCTAGTGGAAACGCAACAAAAACGGGCCGGGCACGGCACAGCACGCTTAAATCGCGCTACGCGCTGCAGTGCAAATGCGGCACAAAATCCAGGTTCTTTCCGGGCCAACAACCGGGCTGAATATGCTAAACTAGTGAGAGAATCGCTGGCAAGGGGGCTACAACTACAACAAAATGAACATATTTGACCGTGATTTAATTGTAATACACGTTTCAAAATGATGCCGAAGTAACAACATACTGATACCGGTTAGTAAAAACCATGAATTAATGCTTTGACAAGTCTGCAGACGAATGTCTGGCGAAAAACCTTTTAAAATGTGTGTTTTCTGAATGGAGAAGCTAACATTGTATATGCTCCGACCGTCCACACTCACAACAACGGCCTATACAGACATAAATAAACCAGCGACTGTATTCGCCATGACACAGACAGTCTGTGGTTTGTACTTGTTTAACTTTTGTCTAGTTTCTGAACAGATGTGAAGAGCTGTGAGCTCTGAGTGCTAAGAGCTAACGGATGATGTTGGTTTTGTGTTTCGCATTGAAGATGAAGTCACGGCTCCACCTACACTGCGTTACTACCCCAGTTTCTAAACTGTAATGGAAACGCAGCATAAAGTGAGCCTGGCCTACAAAGGCCTAACTATACCGTACTAAGCCGTGTGAGGCCCTGCAGTGGAAATGCGCCATAAAACTACCACTTAGTTTAGCTAACTAACAGCCATATAAAGCATTAAGTATATGTGTTAGCCAGGGTGTTCACAAACCTTAATTGACGTTTAATATTTTGTGACGTCGTTTGACAAACGCTTGCGCAAGAATAGTAAGTCCCAAGACTGATGGTTTACCACTGTGTTGTCGGATCTTACAAGAGTGTGTTGATGAGACAGTTCCTGACTTATCTGTCTAAGAAAGGCCATATTAGTGTCAGAATGTTTGAAAGATATGTGACTTGTGTGAAATTGGTTCAACTTTGACTTTGGAGAATATGGGAAAAAGGAATTGGACATATTCTGTGCTCATGTTTATGTCTCCGATTGAATTGAATAGACCTGTCAATATACTCCTAAGGGGGCCAGTCAGCCAGTGGTGAAAATCATTAATTTCAGTGCACTGTGTCCTTGCTGAACTATCTCTTATAAAATGTTTTTCTGTTGAAAATGATTTGCTTTCTGTTGTTTCTCTTACCTGGATCCACTAGTACCATGCGCTTGTCTTGTGTCAGGTTGCTGCGTTCCTCTTGGTTGAACGTCCTGTCAATCATCACCATTTCTGATGACGGACTGGAACGCTGTAGGGAAAGGAGAGGCAACTTGTGAGTCCTGTGCATGCCACCACATGATACACCTGTTTTTGCAAGTATTTACTCATGTGTGCCTACCTCCGCTTCCACCATAAGTAGCCGTCTGTATTTGTTAACCATAGCATGAGTCCTCTTCAGCACTTGGGTTGCAACTACTTCAAATTCTTCATCCACTGTAAACAAAAAAATACAGGTACTTTTCATCCGCAAAAGCCACGCCTTGACATGCAATACTTCTGCAGATTTAGGGTGAAGCTAATAAATGCAAGGCATTACCCTGTGAGAACTCCTCCTGGCTGGGTGGAGTTCCCTGGAACACGTGGTACGGGAGGATTTTCTGCAGTGCATCATCGATTGAATTGAATCGACGCAGATCTATAGTCTGAACTCCAGCATGATCCTTCTTCAACTGTTGTAAAATCCTATAGAGACGACAGGAAAAAGAAACAGGCTCATTCATTGGCTGAACTACAAGCTATACAAAAACATGGCAATATTTCCCACATAAACAAGTATGTAAATAGTACACAGTAAGTTCTATTCTCACATTTCTCCTCTTGTAAGTGGTGGAAGGGCAGGTCTCTTCTGAGCACTGATCTATTAGGTGAAAGAAAACACATTTTGCAAAACAAATAGGGTGTCAGAAATGAGCATAGTTGAGGCGGCTAAAACAGCATTTCCTGAGATTTTTCAAATAAAAACGTAAAAGATTAATCGATTATCAAAATAATATTTCTGACGCTCTATTAATCGTTGCAGCTCCTGTGCATGATGGATGAGCGACATACCTGAGAGTTCATATTTGAGTCTTGAGTCATTGTTGTCATGGCTAAAAGAGATAATTAAGGAAACATTAAGTTTAGCAGATTACATTTTTATATATATATATCATGCATTGACAAAGATTTGTCGGCCTTTGTTACCATGGATGCTGCTGAGCTGCACCTGATTGAGGGCAGGTGATGAAGAATTCTAAAAAATTCAAATTAAAGGGATGGCTTTCATATAAGCATTTTCAGGAAACAGATTATGAATGTGTAAAGAAAAACCACCGGTGATTATACCTGTCTGTAGTCTTCCTGTGTCCCAGTACTGGCTAAAGGTGACAGGGAAGTGAAATTCTGAGTTTGAGTGACCAGAAGGCGCTGAACGTGGCCCCCCTGCACTTGGCCTTGACCACCGATCCCCGTCGTTGCTGGACCCACCAGAGTCAGCCGCCCGGTAGAGCACGACGTCTGCATGGGGGCTGGGTTCGCACAAGAAACCCCTGTCCATGTTTGAGTTACACCCCCTCCAACCTGACTCCTGCAGACTAATCCCTGGTTCAAAATGAGCTGTCCTCCCTGCTGTGGAGTAAAGTTCTGCCCCTGAACAATCTGCACAGCGTTCTGATTGGTAATCAGGGGGTTTGAGAACTGTCCAGGCTGTACGTTTGTCTGGGCCTGCCCTTGCTGCTGCTCCAGTGATGGCTGCACTACGATAGAGCCATTGGCTGTGTATTGCCCCCCAGGAGAAGCCATGTTAGCATTCACTACATTAGCCATGGTGGTGGAAGTGTGCTCAAGACCAAGGCTGTACACAGTCTGAGCCCCGGTTTGGAGGGGTTTAGGCTGGATGGGTCTAACAAGAGTCTGGGTCCCCCCCGGGCCTCTCTGGATGATGATGTTTTGAAGGGGGATGTTTTTGTAAGGTAGGCCCACCTGCCCTTGGGTAGGGGCGAACACCTGCCCCCCTGCTGTGGCCCCCCCTGACGCTACAGGCGCACCGGGCCTCAACACGAGCTGGGGAGATCTCTCCAAGTTGCTCAGAGTCATCACACCACCCCCCGCCCCGAACGAGCCCAACACCTGGATGTGCTGGGCGGAGCCGTTGGGCAGCGGGGACACCCCTTGTAGGAACTGGCCTGTTGGGAAAGCAGCTGTCGCCGTGGTTACAACTCCTCCGCCATAACCCCCCCCAGAAACCAGCTGGGAGGGGAAGGGTACCGGAGCCTGCACCAGAGTGGGGGCGGGCTGGGAGTCCAGTAAGGCCTCCTGAGCCAACGTCTGCTCTGTGATGTCGGCCTCCATAAGGGACTTCTGTAGGATGTCAAAGGGCTGGTCCTCGCTCCCAAGATCCACCCCTCCGGGAGAATTCCCAGGCCCCAATTCATCCTCGATAAATGAAAGGCTACCGGAGAGCTGGAGGCCTGCCCCTGTTGAATCCTCGCCGAAATCTCCCATTGTAGAAGAGCCATCCTTGAGGCCAGAGTTGGAGCCAGCCTGAATGAAGCATTTAAAGAAAATGAAAAGAGAGTTTGCATGTGAGCTGCATACAAGACAGACTTACTTGTAGGTCTTTTTTTATAAACTATACATAAAGGGTAAACTATTGCATAACCTTTTTTTATGAAGGGTGAACAAATGTAAAAAAACAAAACAGTGGTTGTTGGATCAAAGTGCACTTACCGTGTCACTAGAAAAGAAGGACCCATCCGACCCGTAAGCTGCATTTGTTACATCATCCTCCTCAATCTGCAGAAACAGAATACACATCGTTTAACAGAGGATCAGTGGATCCTTTATGCATCAAAGACAGTGATGTAATTACTCTGACAAACATATGGCTGTGAATACATTATGAAAGAGTCACTCACAGACTTGCTGTTGCTGCCATGGAGATAGTCATTCAAAGCATCCACATCTCTGAAAAATATGCGGAAGGAAATTCAACATTAGAAACATTTATTTGTATTTACTGTGGTTTAAGGAGTGACAGAATGAACCATAATTTGAATGCCTGAATGAGACATAGGATTACCAACTTCCCTAATTTATCCAAAGTTAACAAATAAGTTGGCAGATACTTGTAGCTTTGATTGCAAAGTGGGACCCTAGTAACAATAACTAACTGTGAATAATTCACATTGTGAATGGCATGTTAATGACCAATATTAGTGTCTATTATGTTTATTAAAAGGTTTTTTACCCTAAAATATCAAGAAGATGGCGATCGTCCTCATCATCCATGACACCTGAAAGAAGAGGAAGGTATATAGAGATAGAAAGGAGCAGGTTAGGAGAGGGCTGATGTGAATTTTAGAGTAGGTAATTCATGACTGCTGGATTCATTGATCATGACAATAAACCTTAATGCACTTAGTTGTTATTCTGAAGTGGGAGCATATGTATTCTGTTTGTAGTAAAGACATCTCACTCACAGATTTCCAGCAGGACGCATGGATTCAGTCATTTAACACCCTTTGTTTTCTGGGCTGCAGGGTGAGAAACTACATTTAGTATTACATAAATAAACGTGTGAGAAGCAGGTTGTGGGAACAACGTAGATGAGATTAAGGAAAATATGGGTTTGTGAAAAGTGGGAGTGAAGAGGAAGCCAAATGTGTTATTCAGTGCTGTGGTAAATAGGCTATGTATTGTAAGCGAAGGGCAGGATGGCCTTCACCCCCTCCTACAGATGCTTGTCTCACACATACAACTCCCACCCATTACCCTCCTCTGCTGTCGCACATTGGTTGTCTGCACAGACTGAAAATGGCCATTAGAGTGTAAATAACTCCACCCTGCTGCTCCATTTATACCATGGTTGTTTGAGTTTCTACATAGATAGAGGTGTTGGCTTTAAGTTGTCAGTCTGCAAAGGTATGCAGCGATCTTAGTGCTTCATTATAAAAGAGGGACTACAAGCCAAACTCATGATCACTAATTTGATGCAGCAGTGAGGGGTAATGAGTGTTTGAATATCTTATGAGGTTACTATTTTTAATTGTATAATTGTATTTAAGAAATGTGGAGCACATTACAAGGAAATGTAGCTATATGTCAGACAAATAATTTGGTCATTCATCCAACAATGTATTAAGATGATTTGAAGTCGTAGTTTATGTTGTACTCTGTTAAGTAATTGAGAAATACACTCTTATGTTGCTGCGTAGATGAAACTGCAATGCCACAAAATGGCTGTTACCCTGCCATAGGCTGTCCTTACAACAGAGCCACTTCAGCCTCCATCTTTGGTTCAGGGAGAACAAAGAACGACAGGGCTGCTGTGCAAACTAGGCTCTGCTAACTGACTTTTAGAGACCATGAAAACCACTAAACGCTTCCTCAATTATAGAATATTGCAATTCATTTAATATCCACACTAAATGTGCAACAATTTATTTTTCAGGAGATATGCTACAACAGGCAGAGGGGCTCCTGTGTCCTTTAAAAGTGGACACAAAGCTACAAAAACAAGAGGAAGCAATGACGACCTTTCCCAACAAAAAAGGAAACCAAACGATTAACACAGTGACATTTTATTTCACAAAAGAAGCTCCATATGTGGACTGAGTAGGTCATATACACTACAAAAATAACACTACACTCATTTCTGTCATCTATCAATGTATTTAAAAAGCAAAGCAGTCGTTAATATACACGTAATCAATGTTAACAATTAAGTGAGCTACTTTTCACCACAGTTAAGCGGTTAGCTTACGTTATTTCTTTTTTAAAAAGACGACAGAGCTAAAGTACCTAAGATGACTAAAAATTGCGTTTTAAGTAGCTCAAAAGCAAAGGATTTGCAGACATGTAGGCAATTCTGATCAGTGTTGTCGAAAATAAAGTTATATTTTCCGATACTTTGTACAGTTTGTATAATTTAGGGCTTAAATTCGTAGTCTCCGAAATCCGCATTAGCTTGAATGCTTCGACGCAGACCAAGCTAGTCCCTACTGCAGTCCTGCTACTACTGCTGGTACCGCGGTTGGTTTAGAAAGCCAGCTAATGTACAGCTTGCGAGTTTTATTTCCAAAAATAGACTGAATCGACAGAAAGATAATCGCATTCAAGCAGCACAAAACGCCCGTCGTCCAGCCTGTGGCTGGTCGTCGCTGACGTGATCTTTCTTTCTCTGTTGGGGAGGCTTTCATTTGTCCTCAATGTGGCTCATCTGCCAGGATGAAAAACGTCACATTTGTCTCGATATACAGAACCGACGCGTTTCAACCGGGGGATTCTGTAGCAGTCCTTGTTCTGGTCGGGTAGCTCTGCGGACAGGACGCTCCGTAACATTTTAACAACTAACACCGGCCTGGTCTGGCTAGCTAGCCGCGGTGTCGACGACGCCTGTTTTGAAAACGTCGGGTGGATTCGTCGAAAATGCTAGAGGACTAAACCGTGTAAAGCCGTAAACATTTATCCCGATTAGCACAACATAAAGACGACTCAAAGAGGCAAACCCTTTACTCCTGTCTCACTCCTCTTGAAACCCAATATCTCCATTTGGCAACTTTTAATTTGCTCCCCCCCTCCTTCTCCTCCTCCTCCTTCTCCCTCTCCCACTCATATATTTTTCTCACTGTCCCTGTTCTGTCTCAGATAGATTTTTCTCTCCGCTCAAACTCTCTTCCCTCCCTGAAGGAAGGGAGGAAGGAGGTTGTGTGTGTTTTTTCCTTGAAATTTTTATCACAAAATTATAATACACTCAAAGGGAAACTCACCGTCATGAAAAAGCAGTGCCTTGTCAACGGGGTTTCCTCGCCATCACCGCACGGGTTGTTGGGGTAGTGCACAGAACAAGGCAACCCAAATCATCCTCAGCAGTGTTTACGACCATCAGAAATTTGAATAGGAATTTTATGGAAAAAATAACCACAAATAATTTATAGACATATTTATATATTTACATTAATTATAATAACATGCATCAATGCCATAATGAATAGCGGATACATTTTCTTAGACTTAATCATTACCAACGGTAGAGGGCGGGCCTCTAGTGTGTGTGCCACACCTTAACGTTGCTCAGGTATGACGATATTACTGTGGGGGGAAATGTTTCTTAGTAAGACCTACCTACTAATCTACACATAATAAACTTTGAAAATATAACTTAAATAAAAAGTCCAAAGTCAACTTCATACTGTGAACTATTTTTATTTTATTCAGATAAAGGCATTTTAATGAATTCTTATTTACATATTCTATTCTATTGGGTAAATATGTGTGTGTGTTTTTGCACTTACAGTATCCTACATTGTATCTGTCTGGTTTCCATAATACAATACAAACTGTACTTGTCGTACAATATAAGTAAAACAACACAAAGAACATGCTGTAACATACAGGCATCATGTATAAACCCAAAAGCGCTATTTATAAGTGATAATAATAGTAAGTAAATTGGTAAAGAAAATAAACAAAACACAGAAAAATGTATTAATAATATTATTGCTATAAATAAAAGGTACATATAATATATAATAACAAGTAAATAAAGTTGTTATTATCATGGTCCAGATCACTTGCCGCCGTGACATGTCCCATACAGCAGGTGGCGGTAAGCTCCATTATTGGCCCGCTAAAGTCACGAAGAAATAAATGCTGTTGTCACTTCCGCAACAACTGACAGTGCAACAACATGGAAGCAATGGCTGAACATAGCCAGGAAACGAGGGTTACCGGCGAAAGTGGCGCAGACAAGATACAAGAGCGGCTTCAGAGGCGGCACCAGGCGAGGGCAGAGGATGCCGAGCGGAAGAAGGAAGCTCAAGCGAGCCAGTCTGTCGCCGAGGAAAAGAGCGGGTATTTCCTCAGTACTTTCAACGCAGAGCGGGCCTCCATCGAGGATCTGCTGTCCAGCTGCTCCGGAGCGGACCGTGCGGTGGTGACCCAAACACTGGAGGAGGCGACGGTCAAAACGCTGCAGCTGCAGAAGTTTCTGAACGACAGCATGTTGTTTCTCACGCAGTACGAGCTGAGACGAGCCCAGGATGCTCTGAAGAAACTCCTCACCTCCTCAGCTGACATCAGAGAGGAGGCTCTGCCCAAGAAGAAGTTTGCCTTTCGAGCTCGCAGTAAAGCAACAGATAAGGTCTCTGCACCCCCAGTGACAGACACACCTACAGTTACTGATAGCACCAAGGTGGATGTAGCTCCTGCAGAGTCTGTGCAGTGCTGCTTCTCCAACATGGACAATGTGTGTATGATAAAGACAGCAGAGGAGATTAATAAACAAGACGTGCTGTTGACTCACCTGACTAACTGTAAAGTGCGTCTGTTTGGGTCTCCTAGCACGCTGCACATGACTCACATTGACAACTGTGAGATCCTCTGTGGTCCCGTGTCAAGTTCAGTATTTGTTGATCACTGTAGGAACAGCACTCTGGCCATCCCTTGTCAGCAGCTGCGGACCCACAACACCACAGACACACAGGTGTATCTGCACGTCACCAGCCGAGCAATCGTAGAGGACTGTCGTGGGGTTGGCTTTGCCCCGTTTACATGTTCTTATCCCACCCTTGATGAGGACTTTATTGTGTCTGGATTGGACCGGCATCGAAACAACTGGAGCCAGGTGGATGACTTCAACTGGCTCGCTGCAGGAACGCCTTCCCCAAACTGGGCTCTCATCCCAGAAGCAGACAGGAAAACCAACTGGGAACTCTAGATTTGAAAGACCTTAACTTGTTAAAGTAACATGTCAAACAATCAAATGTTTAATTTTCAGCACAAATACACAATGCATCTTGTCTGGGTTATTTCACAGTTGCATGAAGGTTTTCAGTAGGTTGTCAGTTAATACAAAAATAAAAAATGTTTCAAAAGGCATTCATGCTTTTAGCTTACACTTGCCAAAAAGACTGAAAAACAAAATGCTAAAAAATAGCGTTTGAATGTGTCTTCATAAAGAGAATGCTCGACTCTTCATCCTTAGATTTGATGCCTATTAAAAACATTTAGTTTCCCATGCAGTACGAGCTGATTCGAGCCTATTTAGGCGGTTTGCACTTTTTTTGGAAGATCCCAGCCAATATACCTTGTAGTAAATAGTCTTTCATTTGTAATGCTGAGTTTGTCAGCCAATGACTAACAAGAAACAAAATAAAACTATTACTACTAAAAATGTTCAGATTAGTAACTATCGTGGTCACATTGTTAAAAAGAGATCTCTACCCAAAAAATAACTGAGAGGCTAATAATTAGTATTGTGTCAAAGTCTTTGAAGAGTAAACTCCTGTGCTGCTGACTAATCATTAATTGTCTTGTTTATTGTTGTTCATTTACTCAAATATTGATATCTGTCCTAAAAGTCACGCTAGAATTTCCAGGAAATCTTCCAGGAAGATTTAAAAAAAAGAGCCTCCTGCTGATACATTCTTACAGATTTCACTGTAGTCATTATAAAAGGCACAATTTCTTTGTCAAAAATAATATTCTGGCGCGAAAAGAAATTCCAATATGAAAATTGCTGTTGTTGAGGGAAAAACATTCTGCTAACGGAGAAACCATTGTCCAATAATTTACATAATGACAAAGCACATTGAAATGTAGAATACTGTTCTGTTTCCTTGTCATTTTAATAATGATACAAACCTGAAACCTATTGTGTAATACATCTACACAGTAACATCCAATATTCATTCAAAAGATTTAAAACCACTCAAACCCTCACGCAAAGAATTAACTTAAAAGCACTCAATGGTACAAATCCATTTACATGTTTATTATTTAAGTGAAGAAGGCCTGGAATGAGCCCAATGTTAAAATGCTGCCGGCGACCATCAACCTTGAATGGCACTGGCTCTGATCTACAACTTGCAACAATATCTTGTCTGTACTCTTGAAAAGTAACTGCCATTGAAATGAGACAAAAATAAATCATATTCCTGCTCTACATGTTTGTTTGTTTCTGGTGTTTCCTAATGATACCATAGCCCTCTTACAAAGAAACACAAATATTATGAAGTAGATCACAATGCATTTTGTACAATTTAAGCACGACAAAGAGTACAAAAGTTGATGTATAGCCTACAGTACAGCATACATCAGTGTATAGAAATAGTCCATATTTCTGTCTGTCCATCTTCTGTGGCAACATTTGTGAACACTACACAAACAGATACAGAAGGACAATATTGAAAAATAAAACTAATAATTATAAATATATATGTAACACTTATCGTCATATTTCTTCATTATAGTTTACATGATTAATTACTCATGCTTAAGAGCAGGACTTGTTACTGTTCACTTAAAATCCACATCTGTATAAGATACATCAGAAGAATTCTGAAATTAAAAGATGATAATACAAAGACAGACTAAGACGAGACAAAACAAGACAGTAAGGTGACATTATGAAATTGCAAAGGGGCTGTGAGTTGAATTTGGCCCATTGTTGTAGCATTGAGAGGAAAAAAGAAAGTGGGACGTTTGGTTTTAAATTTGCATTGTAGCATGTTTAATACAAAGGAAAACTTCTTCATTGTAATCTTGAGTAATTGAAGACAGGAAAAACAGCATTATTTTAATAACCATAAATGTGGTTATAAAACAGTTAGAAATACAGATAAGGCCTGGATTAAAAATCTAATTAGAGAGGCAGCTTTGCCATATAACGGAATTTTGCAGCAACAACAACAATTCAGCTTGTGCAGTAAGCAATGGTGTGGTGAAGTATGAAGGAGTCAGAGAGGCCGTTCAGCTAAAGGCGCGGCTTTTGTCAACATGAGCATCTGACTGAGTGTTAATCGAACTGCCAAGATAATAAGTGACAATTAGACAATACGGTAATTGAGAGCATTTAAAAAGATTTATTGGCTTGTGAAATGATGTTTTCTACAACAATCTTATGTGCATGTTTATTGATGTGTGATTTTTTGATGGGTTTAACTTTTATCCATCAAATGTCTCAGTTTTGTGTTTCTGTGAATGGGTTACTAGGGCGAGTGGTGTATTTGCTCCACTGGGAAGACATCCGGCTTGTGTTGAATGCCAGCAAACTGTGAATGAACATGTTCCATTATTAACTCCACTTTCATGTCCACGGTCTTTGTCAGGCTTCATCTGATGCCATTATAGCTCCACGGTGTGTTCGATCTAGGCACCCATGACCACGTGAACGCTCAAACCAATTATGGCCCTTGGCAACGGCTTACGATCAGGCTCATCTTGTATGCAGGGATTTCTGCAAATTGGTTAGGCTGCTTACAGAGGCTTAGAATGACGTACTGAAACTTTGAGTTTAATCATTAGGATCTTAGGCAATCCTCCACCTTTCCAAGAGAACGCAACATCACGATTAACTCACCTGCGTGTTGGGGAGGAAAAAAACGGTAAAAATTGGGGGAAAATAGCCTGGTGAAAGTGGATGTTTCTGTCACAATGGGAGAGGAGATAGCTTTTAAGAAATAACTTTACTACGCTGCTCCCGGTTTCTCCTGGGTTCTTCATCTCTGCTGTTTTTCTGTGCGATGGATTACAGGCTGAGCTGATTCCTATTTTGCCTTTAGACCAGCCAGAGGAGACCCTGATAGCAAAGGGACCGGGAAACAGGAACTGCAGGTTGGCGTGTTCAACAACACCTTGGAGCTCCTGCTGTTCTAGATCGTAATTTTGAGTATTTTCTTTACTGGGTGAGGACACATTACAGCTTCAACAATGGCTTTGATGTTGGTAAAGTTTGACATGAAGAAGCGAGTAAAGCTCGCTCAGACAATATGGTTCCTGTACTGGTTCGCCGTAATGGCCGGCGTGCTGGTCTTCAGCATGGGGCTGTTCTTTAAGATCGAGCTGCGAAAGCGCTCAGAACTTATGGACAACAACGAGAGCCACTTGCTGCCCAACGTTCTTATATTAATGGGTCTAATAGCCTGTGGCGTCAATGCTTTTGGAGGCAAAGTCTGCTACGACTCCCTGGACCCTTCCAAGTTTATAAAATGGAAGCTCATATTGAAGCCCTTCTTGATGTTCTGCGTGGGGTTCAACGGCCTGTTGTTTGTCACAGCCCTGCTGTGTTTTGTGATGAGGATCCCGCTGCAGTTCACCCTGGCTGAGGGGCTGAAGAATGGCATGAGGTTCTACAAGGACACGGACACACCAGGACGATGCTACATGAAGAGGACCCTGGACCTGATGCAGATGGAATTCAGATGCTGCGGAAACAACCACTACAGAGATTGGTTTGAGATTCAGTGGGTAAGCAACCGCTACCTGGATTTCAGCGCAAAGGAAGTCAAAGAGTAAGTGACGCAAATTCATTTTCACAATACAATACAAAGGGGCTTTATTGGTATACCCACATTTTAAACATAGTATTGCCAATACTGTGAAACGCAAATTCATAACTAAATCCTGCATCATACCCTTTATGAATTTGAGATTAAACGTTAGATATTCCTGTTTTAGGCGACAGGAGAAAGGCTTAAAGAGGTTGACATTTAAGCTGCATGTACTATCTCAGTGTGTCTAAAGGACCCTTTCACCGACCTCCACGGGGTGGTCGGGTCCTTTAGGGGATAGTATAAGTGGATTTCAGGTGAAGGTCAAAGCAGGCCAGGTGCATTATTCCCTTTCGTCCACTGAGAATAACGAAATGATGACAGCAATGAGGACATGGCATTGGGAGCCGTGGGGGTGGAAGAGGTTACTAGGCAGTTTTCTGGATAAAGGTGAGAAGGAGGGACTTGAGGAGGTGATTAGGGACAGAAAAAGATTCAAAGATCAAAAAGGCATGAGCGGGATTAACAGGACCTTGTTCCACTCCAGTGATATGTGGCCTCTTTCTGACAAAATGTTCATATCTACATTGATTGAAGTACCAGATAGGATTGGCAAGGAGTATTGTACAGGGAACAATTTTGAGCACTGGCACATAGTGTTTAATCTTAAGGATTACAGAGTCCACGTCCTTCAGGGTTAGGGTTAGGGTTAGGGTCCTGTTCAATCATCAGAGGACCTGGCAACACTCCAGGGGCAGCACTGCGCAATACAACAATGTGTAGCTTCTATGATCAGTATAAGCACTGTCTAGGACTGCCTGGAAGAAGAGATATTGTCTCACTGGGACATTCGCGGCTAAATAGAGATTAAATAATTATAGGACAGTATTCTTGGAAAATATTTCTCAAAAATTGCTTATTTTTAAGTTTTGAAGAGTATTTTCTTTTGAACCAAGTCCAATCCTTAATATCCTCCAATATCAGTTCAGCCATTTATCCAATTACCTATGTCGAGTTGGTAATTTGTTTTCTGGTTGGGTTGTTTGTCAATAGGATTACTTACTGGCCTGATTTCTCATTAAACTTTGAAGAACAGTGTAACATGGGCCAAGATATAAGTGTTCTTCTTCTTAATAGTGCCGTGACTAGTATCCAGAACTGATCCCTATCCTTTATAGGGTTGTAAGTACTCTGTGTTCTGTAGTAATGCCCAAAGTCTTATCTGGGGTGTTATTTTTGGCTTGTTGATGTTTCTAAACACCACTGATCCATTTCTGACTATCTCATGTCTTAGTGATCCAATCCTACCTGTCTTTCCATTGACCTACTACCATCAATAACAGTTAGCAAGATCTGTGTAAGGCCCTTTAAACACAATTTGAGACATGTTATCAATAAACATTAATGGTTTTAATTCAGTCATTTACTGCAAACCAATTTACAGTAAATGAAAATGAGTCTTGTACACCAGTGATAGTGTTGTTTAACACAAGAAAAAAATAAGGGAATAATATACAATTAACACAATTGAAGCAATACAAACCATTTAATAAACTCGGCAATCATCCTAATTTTGTGATGGTTTAAAGTTTGATATATGCTTATCCTCTTTAACAGAGATGTTACAATTAATTGGCAAGAATGTTGGGTTTGGAGTAATGCATAGCATTGTTACGATTGCCTTAAATACCTTATACTCATTAGATGTGTTTTAATTAGATTATATTCAGTAGTTGAAATAAATAGTCTTGATTAAGGTCAGAGTTTGATCAACATGTATGACCAACAGCAGTTTGGTCTTTTTTTAAAGATTCAAGGGATACTTTACAACCCAACTGAAAATATCTAATGCCCTATACTCATAGTAAAAATGCAATTAACTAGTTCACACATACGTCAATACAGTTTCTGATCTTTAATCCCTTTCACCTCCCGCCAATCTTAATGAGACATTAACGTGGAACTTTGCCTTATCCTCTTAGCCGCATTGGGAGCAACGTGGACGGCCAGTATCTGATGGATGGAGTCCCGTTCAGCTGCTGTAACCCCAGCTCCCCCAGACCCTGCATTCAGGGCCAGATGACCAACAACACTGCCCACTACAGCTACGACCACTACACGGAGGAACTCAACGTATGGAAGCGCGGCTGCCGTGAAGCCATGGTGTCCTACTACGGAGGCTTGATGAACACCATCGGAGCCATGGTCTTGTTGGTCACCATGCTTGAGGTCAGGGCCAGTGATGCACACAACACAAATATTCACGCAAGAAAATTATAATTGTGTTCCTCACTACAGTCTGTTTTGTATTCCATAATTTTAAGTCCCGAAAACCTACACTATCACCTAGCTATCACAAGGACTTTCTCACTAACAATCTGAAATTCAATGAAGGTAGAGAAATTAACCAGACATGGATTTGCCAAACCCACTTGTGAGTCTTCCATCTTGAAGTTTTTCCCTTGTAAAATTGATGCTTGATTATTGTCACATTTGGGTCAAGCTGTCCAAGTACATTTTCTAGCATTAAACCATCTTTGCCTCATTGGCCAAGATGTAACAGGGCTCATTGATGAAAACACCCACAGGTTGTTGACGGTTGTTAAGAACGGCAGTTGGTATTTTCCCTCAAACTCCCACAAGCAGCAACAATTCCACATTAAAAATGTAAACG